CTGTCACCAAAGTACACCAACATATACATTCATAAATCCTCAGAACATCTAGATTATATCTATTCATATTTTTCACGTGTTTCACTCCTTTGCTGTATACCAAAGAGTCTGAAGGTTCTAGACTCCAAACATCATACAATGCTTTCGAGTAATAAAGTAGTTCGTCAATAACAAGGCTTCCTTTTGGCCTTGCCTCTACTTCTTCACATACACTTCTCCCTCGTCCCACATTACATTAAAACTAAGAAATTCGTGTCCACTCCTCACTCTCTTATCAAAATTGCAACAATACATCTTACCTCATAAGCAATTTCTGTAATCAGTAAATGATATGTAAGTAAGTGATTATCACACAGTACCCGAAAGCAGTAATATCACCAGTCGCTCGGATGTTCCTGAAGCTCAATGTATTTGTGTGATATTAATGCACCAGTTACCCAGTGAAACAGCAGTAAGTCTTCGGGTTTACAACGCTAAAGTCAGGTGTTCGATTCCCCTCGGTGGAAATACCAGACAACCCGGTGTGGCTTTGCTATAAGAAAACACATACACACATTAATGCACCACCCAAGTGGGCGATAGTACGCTATTCCTGCGCAGGATGAGGCAGTTTTATTTTTTTAACAGAGTGATTGGCTTTGAGTATGAAACTTGCCGCTTTCAACAATAAAACACAACACTCTATAAGAACTTAAGAAGGACATTGGTGACTTTTATGTTTATGTTTATTTGTAATTAAGCACAAAGCTACACAATGGGCTATCTGTGCTCTGCCCACCACGGGTATCGAAACCCGGATTCTAGCGTTGTAGACATATTATGTTTATGTTATGATATGTTAACTTTTTTTGTGTCATATGACACATAGAATAATTCACTCCCACAAACAACAATGTAACTTTGATCAATACACAATCAATCATATCTTCCCGCTGTTTTTCAGTTTATGTTGACATTTTACACGCAACGTCATTTTATTGTTTCGTTCTTCATTTTTTTTTTCTGGTGAAGTCTACTATTATAAAGTACTAAAGTTGTTATTCCCCCCCCCCCATTTTTTTGTTAATGGGTTTGTGTACATTGTTTCGGATATCTCAAACAGTCATAAGTTTTTGAAATCAAATCAAGATATTTTTATTCTATTCGATAACACAAGAAAATGATCTCTTAAAACTTTATTTGACGAAATATTACTCCTATTATGTTATTAACCTATAATAATAATATCTTTATGCGTATATAATTTCGAATTTAATTGTTATTTTAATAATTCTGGTAGATGGCAATGTAGTGCAGCTGATGAGGTAATGCAATTTAAGACATGGAAGCTATCGCAATTATGTTCAGTGAAAAATTTTTAGTTATTTTATTTGAGCTTGCTTAAATTAAAAACTGATTTTTAATGAAAATAAACATTTTCGATGTAAAATTCGGTAAGAATGGTAAAATCTAAGTTTATGTGGAAGGGGGACAAAGACATTATTATTAAGAATTGTTCTTCATCGCATTCATTTTTAAGTACAACCCAAGTATTGACAATGGAACAAGATCTAGATTGTGCTACCGAAGATAATCGACTTTTTTTAGAAGATGAAGGCTTGTGCTTAGAAGATACTTCAGATTTACCAACATCTTTAATTATAACTAATATTGATCAAAGGGTGTTCTCAGATCAAGAATTAAAGGTATAGTAATTTAATTGTAACATACGTTATTTAAATTTAATCACGATTCTAATTTATAATTCTATATCAAAACTTGTGAAATGTTGAATAATGAATTTGGCTCTTGATAACTTTAGTCTTAAGACCAAGTTAAGTTAACATATTAACAATGTAACATAACATAATAGTGTTGATTTTCTTTCTTAGTTGTAAGAATGAAAAGAGTAGAAGACAAAAATATAAATTTTGGCAGAATAGCAGTTATGTTTGGATAAGACAACTTTATTTTTCTAACATGGTGGGTTTGGTTTTCAAATGTGTTGCTTTCAGATATGGGAGATGCAGTTAATTTAAGCCTAGGTACGCTTGATAAATATTTGAATGATAATGGCTGGCTTTAAGTATTTTAATTTTATTTTAAAGAGTTTAGAATGGTGGATGGGATATATATATATATTTGTGTGTGTGTGTGTGTCTATTTTTATGTGCAATATAAAGCTTGGGCCACAGTGGCTGTCACATTTATTTCATTATAGTTATACACCGATCTGCATATTTCTAGACCTGACTCTGAAAGTATTTATCAAGCATTCTCTTGAAATCTAATCTAGTTCAATCTAACATGCCTGAAGGTAATCTGTTTAAAAGGCTGATCACCCCAAGAGTTTTTCTGCTAAATTTGAAACCAGTTGGCAGATTATGTCGTAGCAAAATGTAAAATATTGAATTAATATGGCATATCACTGCATAAAGAATTAATAATAATATTGATGATTGTAATGTTATATGATTCATAATCATTTTATATCAGTCAAAACATAGATGTAACAATAAAATAATCAACTAGTATGCATTTCAGAAAAAAAAGTACTCAAAGTTTATTTTTCATCAGGCATATTATGAACAACATCAAGCACAACTGCAAAAAAAGGTGTTTTAAGAAAAAGGTCTTAATTGCTTTTCCTGTAATTTCCTCCTCTGAGTAACATCAATGATTAAGATATTATATCAAAATAAAACTGCTGTTAAATAACTAGAATATTCAATGATACAGTCATCTCACATTGTTTAACTTTAAATGTTAGTTACTGTTGAATGAAGATTTAAGCAATATTCCTCATCTTCAACAGTTGATAGATGGAAACAAGATGATTGCATTAATTCTAAGCTTGATAAGGAAACTGGAAGTTTAAAGAACGATAAAGCTCCTGGCTCAGATAATATTTTCCCAAGGGTTTTGAGGGTGGTTAAGGATTGGATATATATGAGCAACTTGCTACTATTTTTTGTCAGTCCTTGAATAGTGAGCAGATACAAGAGGAGTGGAAGTTAGCTAATGTAAGTCCTCTTTTCAAGGGAGGTGATAAAATTTGTCCCAGTAATTATAGGCCTATTACTTTTTCATCAGTTGTGGGAAAAGGTTTGGAAAGTCTGATAAAAGATTCTTTACCAAGCCCTTTAACAAAGTTTATAATTTTATTGGATAGTCAACATGGTTTCACCAAGGGAAAACCTTGCTTTACAAATTTCTGACATTGCTTCAAAAGGTTACTACTTAAGTAGATGAGGTTAAGGGTGTAGATTTGGTGTATCTGGATTTTCAGAAATCATTTTACAAGGTGACACATAAAAGGCTTCTAAATAATATTATCTCTATAGATGTGGGGGATAACTTAGCTAATTGGATAGAAGAGTGGCTGGCTGGAAGAAAGCAGAGGGTTGTTACAAATGGAGTTCAGTCAAACTGGATTAATGTCACAAGTTGGGTACCTCAGGGCTCAATCTTAGGATCCTTGTACTTTTTTATTTACATCAATGAAATAGATGAAGGAATGGTCAATAAATTACATAAATTTGCTGATGATATTAAGGTCTTGGGTGTTGCTAGCTGTGAAGAGGATACTGCTGCTTTACAAAAGGATGTAGATCATTTAGTGAGTTGGGCAAATAAATGGCAGATAAGTTTTAATTATAATAAATGCAAGATAATGTATGTGTTATCATAATTTGAATTATAAGTATAATTGGGATGGGAATAACCTTAATAGTGTCATGAAAGAAATGGATCTTGGTGTAATAGTTGATCAGTCTCTAAAGCCATCCAAACAGTGTGCTGTTGCTAGTTGTAGGGCAAATAGGATTTTAGGCTGTATCTACAGAAATATTGAATACAAGTCTAAAGAGGTCACATTTGGAGTATTGTGTTCAGTCTTGGGCTCCGTACCCATAGGAAGGACATTGAATTGTTGGAAAGGGTTACTAAAATGATTTCTGGGATAGAGGGGTTGTCATATGAGGAGAGATTAAGATCTCTTAAATTGTTTTCTTTTGAAAAAAGAAAAGTTAGAGACAGGATCTGATTGAGGTGTTTAAGATTATAAAGGAATTGATAGTGTTGATGTGTCATATTTTTTTATACTTAATGGTGAGAATAGAAAGACTAGGGGACACAAATATAAATTTTGGTAAGGTAGGAGTCATCTTCAGGTGAGACAGTTTTATTTTTCTAACAGGATAGTTGGTCTTTGGAATGGGTTGCCTTCAGATGTTGTGGAGACAGTAAATTTAAGTGAGTTTAAAAGAAAGCTTGATAACTATATGAATGATAAGGACTAACTTTAAAATTTTTTTCTAATTTATTTATTTAATAGTTTTAGTTTAATTTAAAGGATGAGACATCCGAGATGGACTAATAGGTCCCTTGTTGTCCATAAACATTTTGTTAAGTTCTAACACTGCATTTTGTTTGAAAAATGAAATTGCTTTAAATAAGAAAACTTCCAGTCTGCTGTATTTTAATCTTATGCCCCTTAGTCCTACCACTCTTACAATTAAACACAAAAGATGATGATGCATTAAACCTATCTATTCCCTTTATTATTTGGAACATTTTGATCAGATCATCTCCAATCCTTCTTTTATCAAAGAAAATAATTTTAAGGGTCTTAAACTGTCCTCATATAACAGACCCTCCATTCCAGAAATCATCCTAGTAGTCCTCTATTGAATGTTTTTTAACATCTCAGTCTTCTTCTTAAAGTAAGGAACCTAAGACTGAATAAAATACTCTTATCCTAACTACTATCCTCCGTTCATCTCTTCTTTGAGGCTACCCACTGTTCCCCCTGAGGGTTTTTCAGGCAGATACGCATCCCCGCCTTTTTTCCATGTTGTTGTGCTTATCTTCTTCTGCCCTTTCCCTTTATACTTGGCTCCTCTGTTGTTGGGGTCTCCTTATACATACACACTTTTGTCACACGTGTCTCCTTCCTTCATATTTATGGGACTTTTGTTTGGTGCATTTTTTGAGCCAGTTCATATTTGGAGATCTCCCTGACTCTTTGAAATCCAGGGTGGAGGCTGCACATCAACATTCCTCTCTTTCCTCCTTGGTTTCTTGTTTATTCCAACCTTCTACTACTCCCATCTCTGTGTTTCATCCTCCTGCTTCCTCCCCTCTCCCAGTGCCTCCTTCCTGAGTTTCAGCAGCAAGCTGCCAATTTTCTCATCAATGTGCTCTCTGGCACCATTGGCAGTAGTGACTATCCCATTGGTTCTGGCACTGTAGGGGCATGGTTGACCAGGTTTGTTCATCTGTGGCACCCATTCACCACAGATACCTGTATTATTCAGGTGTTGTCAGAAGGAATTTCCCTTTGTTTCCTGGATCCCCCATTATCCCACTTTCCTTTTACTTCCCTCCTCCATGGAATCCCATTTCCTGCCAGTGCCTATCAGAAGCATTTCGAGATCTTTTGCTCAAGAACAGTATTGAACCACTTATCCTTCTAAATAGTTTTTATTCCTGGGTGTTTGTTCTTTCCAAGAGGAATGGAGATTGGCATCCTGTCATCAATCTCTCTAGCCTCAACACTTCACTGACCTTACTTACTTGACCATGGAATCTTTTCTCACTATTCAGTGGGCATTTACTCCATGTCTTTGAATGACAAAGATAGACATCTTGTATGCTTATCTTCACATCCTCTTCTCTCTGGCCTTCTGGCATTACTTCCATTTTGTCCATAACAGTCAAGTTTTCCAATTCTGTGCTCTACCATTTCGTTTGGCATTGGCTCCTTACATTTTCTGCTGTGTGGTTAGAGTCTTTGCCCATAATGTTCACTACCACAGTTTGTAGTTCCATCATTATGTGGATGACTGGCTACTTTTGACTTCATCCCAACAATATTCTCTCTCACACATGCATTTCTTTCTACAGGATGCTGTTCTTGTTGTTTGGCTGATCAAGTTGGAGTAGCCCTTTTTCACCCCAACACAGTACCTGATACATTTAGGAGAGTGTTTTTCAACACCTTACTCAGTTAGGCCCAGCCCTCTCCTATTCATTTGAGGTCAATGGAACTCATGGTTTCCAAAGCCCAATCCTTTCCTTTTCTCCCTGCATGTGAGGTTTTATCTTTTTTTCGGGACCTGGGCTTCCATAGAAACTCTTACACACTGGGGTTGTCATGTTTTGTCTTCAGTGCCTGTTGCACAATCAATAGAATCTCCCTTGGGATCCCTCTATCTGCCTTACTCTTTTCCTCCAGGTAGATTTTACCTGGTAGCTAAACAGAGACAACACCTCGGCTAGTGTTCCTTTGCCAACTACCTGTCCCAGATAGTATCTGTTTACGAATGCTTCTCTCACAGAATGGAGTGTGTGTGGGGGAGGGTATATGGATTATTGGGAAGTTGCAGTCCATTGGTCAGTTATCAATTCTTCTCTTCTCATCAGTCTTTTGGAACTTTTAGGTTATGGTTCATTTCCTACCTTCAGTATGTAGCCATTTGATAATGATGCATTCTGAAAATTAGACTGTTGTTTTTTACATGAATGAGCATTTTTGCTATCTTTGTGAACATTGGATTTCCTTTTATGGCCCAAAGCTCAGCAAATCTGCCTTCTGGCTTGTCACATCCAGGGTGCTCTGAATCATGTAGCTGATCATTTATCTCATCATGACAAGATTCTGCTCATGGAGTGGTCCTTAGCTCCTCAATTTTTTCAGTAGTTA